TTGTGATTTTGAAATCAAATCAAAATGATGCATTTGCAGTGTGGGAGTCCATGTTGTTGAGGTAGTAGGTAATGCAGGTGATTGACTAATAGATCCATGCTTTCCTCTGATTGGATAGATTGAGTGTGACCTTGGTGGCGCGATTTCAAGTGCATTAATCAATCTCATTTTGAAGAAACCCATGCAATATGTGATTATAAGATTTGGAGGACTCCATTGAGATGTCCACAAGCTGACACTAGGAATGCAGCTGATTTCTAAAATAAATCATCTAAAGAGGAGGACACACTCCATTAGTTATGGATGAATGTTCTTTTAAGATCATGAGACTTAATGTAAATGAAGGAAAACACTGAGATATAGCTATAAACCATTAAACATTCTTGTCATCTTCTGCTGACTATATTGAGTTTTCCTCATGCAACAAATAACTAATTGGTCTTGTAGGTGTCTCCAAAGCATGCACAGAAGATGGCTGAAACCACAACTAAGCTGGAGTACTATGCACTATGGAGCAGTTTATCCACTTCTATCTGCCACCCAAATGCACATCTATATCATTCTATATCTTAAAATAGTGTGGAGGGATGGTGTTTTCTACTAGCCTACTGAACACATATGGAAAGAAAGATATGGAAAATAAGCCAGGGTGTGGTACACAAATTGCTCCTCTTGGCTTGGGATGAGAACTATAATAATAAACCCAGTTGAATTGAACTGTCATTAATGCGTTACACAAAGTCACTTGACTTCTCACCAATGACAGACTACTATCTGCTGCAAAAGCCTCTATACATCCTCAATCAAATAACGACAATCACCACACATTCATATACACTATTGATGCTAGCGTTCACAATAATAAAGCAACGGAAAAACAACAAAGCAGTCCATGTGATGAACAATCATGTATTTACCTCATCATCAGGATCAGACTCCATCATGTCCTGGTGGTTCCCAAGATGCATTGCAAACAAGGGGAAAGATGACACAATGGACAGCGGGTGGTTTATAATAGGTGTGGGTGGAAATAAACATCAGGAAATGAGAATGAAGCAGCTGAGGGCAGCAAACCATATTGGCATGGAAAAGGCTGTGGAAATAACTAGTCCACAGGCCACCAACGACCCAGAAAAGCAGCAAAAGGAACAGCAATGTCAATCAGAGTTTTTGAACACCGCATAGAGAAACAAAAAGAGAAATGCCACCATAACGTATTACTCTTCCACACTTTGAGTGAGGTAAATCAGTAATATAATGTGTATGACTGAATGTGTGTTTTGTGGGGGCATATAATTGGCATTGGCAAAAATACGGATAAAAGACACAAGCAGCAGGCATTCTAACCAAACGGAGGTCAACCTCTCCACTCTGCTGCTGTTACTGTACTTTGTCGTTCAATTCATTTACATGAGGATGACATGATATGGCCCAGAGGAAACATCATTCACATATCCAGCCTACCTTATTATGAGTTGGCAGTGTGATATTCAAATTACATATGGCAGTCTGTGGAAGACCTTTAGTGGTTTTTGGCTCTTTCAAGAATGAGAGTCGACCGCATGGTTCTTGGCCCATGTCTCTGACCTAAGGAGCAAAAAAACATGTACTATAAAAAAAGATATAATTTTTATACAAGATCTAAAATAAGAGCATAAGGACATTATTTTCTTGGTGCTGAAAAAAGGCCATGAGCATTAGAGCTTACAACATGTCAGCAAGTTTGAAGGACGATCATCCTCTCGCATACCACTATAATAGAAAAGTGTGACCTTATTACATATAAGAGGAGGATGAAAATGTGATTCTACCTTCACATTGAAAGGAAGCCGGTTCTCTTTGAAAGAGAAGAAGTTGAAGATCAGCTGCTGCCCACTCTTGGTAAGAGGAGATAAGTTGCCATAGCAATCCACATGGATAGGCTTGCCCTCCAAGACCTGTAAAATCATTATCAACAATAGCATGTCAATTCAGATAAACCATGTATCTGTGCTTGTGTCTACCTGTGTCAACATATTTTGTGTATGTGTGCGTGTGGGTGCAAATCAGACCCACCTCGATGTCCTTGCTCCTGGCCACCTCTTCAAAGTTCTCCTGTTGTTCCAGAGTCTTGTCCACTTTGTCGTCCGTCATGCAGAAGCAGCGGAGGCGTGACTCCACAGGATCGTTCATCTTGGCAAACACCACAAACTTGGCCAGGTACGGCACACAGATCAGCTCCCGGTATAGCTGAGAGGCCAGACCGACCGTCTCAGGAGTCTGGTGACAGTCTGCAAGCCAGAACCTGGAGGTAAGGGAAAAACGGAGGTGATGAGTAAAGATTAATATGTATGTTGAAGCCAATCAGAGAGTATCTTTGGCAAGAGCTTGGTTGAGGGGACCATAAACATTATAATGCATACAAAGCTTCACAAAGCTTTTTTGATAACAATTGATCTAAATCAGGGCTCTCCAACCCTGTTCCTGGAGAACTACTCTCCTGTAGGTTTTTGCTCCAACCCTAATCTAGCGCAACTGATTCTAATAATTAGCTGGTTGATAAGCTGAACCAGGTTAGTTTAGCTACAGGAGGGTAGTTCTGCAGGAATAGGGTTGGACTTACCAATGAGCGGGTGGCTACACTTTCCATACAGAGGCCGCATTATAGCTTACAACTCCCTAGAGCCGTTTTTTAAATTTAATTAGCTTTTTTTTTTTTTTTTCATCAACATCTGTCCGTCTAGATACAGTGCCTTCAGAAAGTATTCATACCTCTTGACTTATTCCACATTTTGTTGTGTTTCAGCCTGAATTCAAAATGGGTTAAATATATATCTACACACAATACCCTATAATGACAGTGAAAACATGTTTTAAGAGATTTTTTCAAATGTATTGAAAATGAAATACAGAAATACACTACATGACCAAAAGTATGTGGACACCTGCTTGTCAAACATCTCATTCCAAAATCATGGGCATTAATATGGAGTTGGTCCCCCTAAGCTGCTATACCAGCATCCACTCTTCTGGGAAGGCTTTCCACTAGATGTTAGAACATTGCTGCGGGGACTTGCTTCCATTCAGAAACAAAAGCATTAGTTAGGTCGGGCACTGATGTTGGGCGATTAAGCCTGGCTTGCAGTCGGCGTTCCAATTCATCCCAAAGGTGTTCGATGGGGTTGAGGTCATGGCTCTGTGCAGGCCAATCAAGTTCTTCCACACCAATCTCGACAAACCATTTCTGTACGGACCTCGCTTTGTGTACGGGGGCATTGTCATGCTGAAAAAGGAAGGGTCTTCCCCAAACTGTTGCCACAAAGTTGGAAGCATAGAATATTCTAGAATGTCATTGCGTGCTGTAGCGTTAAGATTTCCCTTCACTGGAACTAAGGGGCCTAGCCCAAACCATGAAAAACAGCCCCAGACCATTATTCTTCCTCCACCAAACTTTACAGTTGGCACTATGCAATCGGGCAGGTAGCGTTCTCCTGGCATCTGCCAAACCCAGATTAGTCTGTCGGACTGCCAGATGGTGAAGCGTGATTCATCACTCCAGAGAACGCGTTTCCACTGCTCCAGAGTCCAACGGCGGCGAGCTTTACACCAATTACAGCCGACGCTTGGTATTGCACATGGTGATCTTAGGCTTGTGTGCAGCTGCTCGGCCATGAAAACCCATTTCATGAAGCTCCTGACAAACACTTCTTGTGCTGACGTTGCTTCCAGAGGCAGTTTGGAACTCAGTAGTGAGTGTTGCAACCGAGGACGATTTTTACGCACTATGCGCTTCAGCACTCAGCGTTCCAGTTCTGTGAGCTTGTGTGGCCTCCCACTTCACGGCTGAGCCGTTGTTGCTCCTAGATGTTTCCACTCCACAATAACAGCACTTACAGTTGACCGTGGCAGCTCTAGCAGGGCAGAAATTTGACTAACTGACTTGTTGGGAAGTTGGCATCCTATGATGGTGCCGCGTTGAAAGTCACTGAGCTCTTCTGTAAGGCCATTATACTGCCAATGTTTGTCTATTTTTTATTATTATTTTTTTAACCTTTATTTAACCAGGTAAGCCAGTTGAGAACAAGTTCTCATTTACAACTGCGACCTGGCCAAGATAAAGCAAAGCAGTGCGATAAAAACAACAACACAGAGTTACATATGGGGTAAAAAAACATAAAGTCAATGAAATACAACAGAAAATATATATACAGTGTGTGCAAATGTAGCAAGTTATGGAGGTAAGGCAATAAATAGGCTATAGTGCAAAATTATTACAATTAGTATTAACACTGGAATGCTAGATGTGCAAGAGATTATGTGCAAGTAGAGATACTGGGGTGCAAAAGAGCAAAATAAATAACAATATAGGGATGAGGTAGTTGGGTGGGCTAATTTCAGATGGGCTGTGTACAGGTGCAGTGATCGGTAAGGTGCTCTGACAACTGATGCTTAAAGTTAGTGAGGGAGATAAGAGTCTCCAGCTTCAGAGATTTTTGCAATTCGTTCCAGTCATTAGCAGCAGAGAACTGGAAGGAATGGCGGCCAAAGGAGGTGTTGGCTTTGGGGATGACCAGTGAGATATACCTGCTGGAGCGCAGACTACGGGTGGGTGCTGCTATGGTGACCAATGAGCTAAGATAAGGCGGGGATTTGCCTAGCAGTGATTTATAGATGGCCTGGAGCCAGTGGGTTTGACAACGAACATGTAGTGAGGACCAGCCAACAAGAGACTATATGAGATTGCATGATTTTCAAGCCGATTTAAGTCAAAACTGTAAATAGGCCAATCAGGAACATTCAATGTCGTCTTGGTAAGCAAATCCAGTGTATATTTGGCCTTGTGTTTTAGGTTATTGTCCTGCTGAAAGGTGTATTTGTCTCCCAGTGTCTGTTGGAAAGCAGATGGAACCAGGTTTCCCTCTAGGATTTTGCCTGTGCTTAGCTCTAATCTATTTATTTTTATCCTAAAAAACTCCCTCGTCCTTGCCGATGACAAGCATACCAATAACATGATGGAGCCACTACCATGCTCAAAAATATGAAGAATGGTACTCAGTGATGTGTTGTGTTGGATTTGCCCCAAACATAACGCTTTGTATTCAGGACATAAAGTTAATTTCTTTGCCACATTTTTTGCAGTTTTACTTTAGTGCCTTATTGCAAACAGGATGCATGTTTTGGAATATTTGTATTATGTACAGGCTCCCTTCTTTTCACTCTGTCATTTAGGTTAGTATTGTAGAGTAACTACAATGTTGTTGATTGTGGTCCTCTGTAGCTCAGCTGGTAGAGCACGGCGCTTGTAACGCCAAGGTAGTGGGTTCGATCCCCGGGACCACCCATACACAAAAATGTATGCACGCATGACTGTAAGTCGCTTTGGATAAAAGCGTCTGCTAAATGGCATATTATTATATTATCCATCCTCAGTTTTCTCCTATCACAGCAATTAAACTCTGTAATTGTTTTAAGTCACCATTGGCCTCATGGTGAAATCCCTGAGTGGTTTCCTTCCTCTCCGGCAACTGAGTTAGGAAGGACGCCTGCATCTTTGCAGTGACTGGGTGTATTGATACACCATCCAAAGTGTAAGTAAGTACTAACTTCACCATGCTCAAAGGGTTATTCAATGTCTGCTTTTTTTGTTGTTGCCAATAGGTCCCCTTCTTTGCGAGTCATTGGAAAAACTCCCTGGTCTTCGTGGTTGAATCTGTGTTTGAAATTCATTGCTTGACTGAGGGACCATACAGATACATATGTGGGGTACAGAGATTAAGTAGTCATTCAAAAATCATGTTAAGCACTTTTATTGCATACAGAGTGAGTCCATGCAACGTATTATGTGACTTGTTAAGCATATCTTTACTCCTGAACTCATTTAGGCTTGCCATAACAAAGGGGTTGTATACTTATTGACTCAAGACATTTCAGCTTTTCATTTTTTATTAATTAGTAAACATTTCTGAAAACATAATTCCACTTTGACATTATGGGGTATTGTGTGTAGTCCAGTGACACAAAATCTCAATTTAATCAATTTTAAATTCAGGCTGTAATACAACAAAATGTGGAAAAAGTCAAGGGTTTGAATACTTTCTGAAGGTACTGTACCCACATCAATACCCACACATGCAGTCAGAGCCTAGCCTTTTGGGGGCCCTAAGTGACATTTTGTTGGGGGGCCTGTCATGCCAAATAGTGTCCACCTCTGCATCACAATGGGATTCAATTAGCTGTTAGCGTCCATCCTAGGGCCGTTGCTAAAACTTGTCAAATTCTGCCCAGGCTACGTAATGAAAGAAAAAGATCTATAGCGTTCATTGCTATGCTGGTTGCTATGTTCTGAAGGCACGGAAAGAGAGGAGCGTGCAGTCAAAAGACAGGGGAAAATGTGATTGACGTTACATGTTATTTACGAGATGTTTTAACTTGAAATCTCACCGATTATTGGTGGATAAAGTACAAAACATGATGTTTACTTGCTTTCAAAACTTGATCGAAAACCTTGATTTAGCTAGCATGAGCATGCTGCAAGCAAGCATAGATGCTGCAAACGATGGATGCAAACACTACTGTGAATTAAGACCACTTTTCCAAATATATTTACATAGCTAACTAGCTAAGCTTTGTTTTGTATTGTATTATTTGTGTTTGTAGATAATCAGTTTATTTAAATAGTTATCTCATATACTAAGTAGCCTATGACAAGTGCTATATCAGCTGTAAAATGTTATGGGGAAAGGGTGAACACCATTAATCAATGTTCTGGTCCTGAGTGATCAGATTGTAGCTGGGTACCATTAGAGACATTTGTTTCAGACTATATCTAGAAGTATAGGACATGCTATGGCCTATACCAGGGAAATGCATAATAATAATAATAATAATATGCCATTTAGCAGACGCTTTTATCCAAAGCGACTTACAGTCATGCGTGCATACATTTTTTTTTGTGTATAAGGGGAAGGACCTGTATTAGTAGATCATAGGAAACCCTGTTGCAGTAAGGTTATTGTAGCAATACCAGTGCCTATTGAATACCAATGTATTTGTGTAAATGAATAGATTTCTTGCTGAATTACTACATTCATGATAGGTAGTTTATCTTGTGTTTTCCTTGTTCCATACCAAGCTGCCATGGTGTGGGCCTCTGTCAAACAAATTCCTCCCAGCAGCACCAGAAACGCAAGCTAAGCTTTCAAAAATCACATCAGGAGGTAAGACAACCAGATATTTACCATGTTTACAGCGCACAATTAATTATCTGATTATGTAAATTTTTATTAGCATAATGTCTCAATTAC